CACAGTTGTGGGGCGGTTAGGTTCCTGAGTTTCAAGGACGAGTGCGTAGAATTTGAATCCAACAACATTCCCCTTGAATCCGCCAACCACGGCGACAAAAGACAGCTCAGTCTTGTGCTTCCTGTTGTACTCCTCCACTGCCCATTTTCCGACCTCTTTCACGCGAGCTTCAGCCGGGTTCACTGGTACTAGGTCCAACGGTACTTGTTCCATCTGTAAACGCCTAACATTTTTTTTTTCAGTAAGAAAACCCAAAACAATTGAGTTCCCAAAATCAATTAGAATTATTTCAGACAACCAACCACAAAACTAAATCCAACCAATTAGTAAGAAACTACATTGCTGGCAGGAAGCTTAATCAAACAATTCTAGAGACCGCTTACCCATATGCATGTAGACAACCAGAAATACAAAATATTTCTTAAGACAATTCAAGAATGTTGAAATTGCTTTAATTTGCAACTCCCTAACTTTTTTTCAAGCGTTTCTATGCAAGTTGTTTATGAGTTGATACCGAAAAACCACACACAAACTTGAAAAAGAAAGAAATCTAGGTCCAGCTAGGCATACAATCAATATTCACCTGTCCAGCCAACTTTTCCTTGAAGAACTGATATACTGATATACTGATATTTGTAACTGGTTACTGTCGAAAACTTGGTATAGCCGAGAACCAGACTCCTTGTATTTATAGGCCTAAAAATGTGGTATAAATCAATTCGTCATAATGTCGGACCCAATCACCAAAATCATGGTCCACCAGCATGGAACCCGTTTTTACACGTCCGCGATGAGGTCAGTGTGAAAATACACACCAACATCACCGAATTAGTAATTACTATAGCTAGCCCTACAATTTTGTGCTATTGTAATGTCATCATTCGAACTTTCAGCTTCATCCCACTGGGCCATGTTGGTTCAGCGGCTATGAGCTCCCGCAAGTGTCAAAGTCAATGTTTGAGTCATGAGGCTGATAATTGAGGATGGGAAGGAGTGTGGAGAGGGGAGGGAGGATTGAGGGGGAAAAAAAAAAAAGAAAAACTATATTTTTCGTTATAATAATAACTCATATTTTTTGTGTTTCTTTAAGAAAGTCCTTAGAAATGCATCTAATGTCGCTGCGGTGGATGACAGATGATATCCGATGCCATCTTAGAAAGATTGTTATATTACTTCTTATAACTGCCTTATGTGATGTTTAATGCTTTATGAAAATTCTCCTTGCCGTTTAAATAGGTTTCTTCAAAATGTAGTTTAGCTCACTATGTCGACATGATCAGTTTCAGACTTTCACAAGTGGAAAAAACCAGAGGAGGCATTTTAAATCATTTATTGGAACTTTCGTTCATGTCGGCTTCGAAGGTTGAATGCATCGGTGTAAATATTATCCATAAATGTCTATAATAAAATATCTCAACTTAGTCCTTGAAAGATAATTATGTTTCCACGCTCATTTTCTACTATTTTGACTAAAATTCAATGATTGAATTTGGGGCTCTTAACAAAATATCTATCACTTTAAGATAAATCTATTGGTGAAATAAAGAGAACCAAATGAAAATTCATATTCTTTTGCTTTCTTTATATATCGTTTCTAATTTCGTTAAATTTTCGAGCTCAAAACAAAGTCACTAAATATACTACGGAACATAGCTAAATATCAAATATATTATATATGGTGATTGAAGCATTTGTATCTTGCCTTCAAATAACTGTTAAATGTCTCGGTTTCTGTTTCGTACATCCTAGTTCAAGCATATTAAACTAAGGTAGGAATGATATGGCATCAATAGGAATTGAAAAACATGAAATCTCTCTAATCTTCTGTCATTTTATGTCAATTAATTTACATTTTGTAGGTGAACCATCACCCCAACACAGGTTGAATTAAAACTCTACCTACCTATAAAATTCTTGCAGTTGCATGTCTTTTTCTTCTTGTCATTCATAAGCATGAAGAAAAAAACATCAAGGTTGCTAGGTGTTGTCAAATTTTAATATGACCGCATGTACATCAAATCATTCTCAAACTAACATGTTCTTAAGTTTAATCTCCTTGGCTTTGAATGCTTAATTGCATTTTCCTTGGCTCTGAGTAAGAATTTGGAAGTTTTACTCAAACAAATAGAATGTAAAAACCAGGCTTCTGTTTTGTTTCTTGATCTAAGTTGAGGGTTTTTTTTTTCTTGCCTATTTCTTATTGTTCTCATTGTTGCAGGCATGTTAGCTGCTCTTACTTTTTACTGCCAAATTTTAGCATATTGATCAGCAAAAGAAAAAAAGAAGAATATTTTCAAAAGCCCTTTCATAAATTTTTTTTTACAAGAACAAAGTACAATAACCTCCAGAAAAAGTGTTTGTTGTCATAAGAATAATCATCATCCAATTATTTCGAGTTAAATTGCTATAAAGTTAGAATCTGGTGTTGATGTTTCGCTTAGTATAATAATGCTCATTGTGTAAATCTCTTCTAAATGTTAATGTGAACAAAAAAAAAATTAACAATTGGCTTCTAAAACACCCGCATGTTGTAATAATTATAATATATACTCAAAACAAAGCCAATCCAGCATCTTATTGGGTGAATTCTTAGTTTATGATGGAAAAAAAAAAAAGAATTCTACAACGAGGGCGGTTCTTGGAGTGTGTTTTACAAATGGGGGTCTTCGCATTCCCGGAATGCGAGCTCACTGAGAGCTGGGTGAGCGCCAAGACAAGGCTACGTTACAGTCTTCATCGGCTTGGCGTGGCATAGGTATAGGTGCTGGTGGATGTAGTCGCATTGTCTCTTTGACAATGGCCTGTAGGTAGACTAAATTCGTGATATCAGATTCTTCTACCCATCTCTCTTTACCAACAAAAGAGGCAATCTCTTCCTGGGCTTTTTGCAAAACATGCCTATGGTTCAGTAGCAGGGAGATAACCCAGCTCAACGCCCTTGATGTGGCACTAGTTCCTGCTACAATAAGCACCTGCAAGCAAAAAAAAAATAATAATAATAATGAAAAGTAACAAATAGAAAATTCTGGCAAAGATTAGTTCTACACTAAGAATAGATTAGCTGAAGAGTTTTGAGTTTTGATTTTTTTTAACTCGTCCTAATTAGTTGTGGAGCTTAGAATATCAGACAAGGGAGAAGTTCTACAAGAAAGAAACTAGGGTGGACAATTCTCTAGCTCCCAAAATAAAAGCAAAAAAAATTAAATTTGGGAGAGCTCGCATTCCGCGAATGCGAGCTCTATGGCCTCCGAAAAAAAAAAAAATTCTCGTGAGCTCGCATTCCCGAAATGCGAAGACCCCCTACGAAATACCTCACCGAAATCGTCCCTTTTGTAGAATTTTTTCAAATTTGATCACAAACTTAGAAATTTCTCCATCTTATTTAGCTCAAGAGTGAACATCTTGTCATCACTCATGGAGAGTTTTGAAATGGACAAGTGGAAGTGGGGTGGAAAACTTCTCAGTTTTGACAAATTGACAAAAAAAGTCCCATAAGAGTCTTACAAATTAGTTAAAGGTCACATAACATAATTATATTTCAACCCAAACGGCTTTGTCTACTTTCACTACGTTGATGTTCCCCATAAAGGTTTTTTTTTTCAGGGTATTTTCCCCCTTGTCTCGGACCTATTTTTCTTTTTTTTTTTTTAGCAATGATAAATTTTGTATTGATGGACAAAAGGTGTACACTTATATGAGTAAAAGCTCAAGTGATTCTATACAAAAAGTTTTAGCCACACCTATGAAGCACACACCAATAGTACATTTCTAATCCATCCGTTCATTACTTTTTTTATCTATAATTTAAAAGTTTAATTTATAAACACATAATAGGCTTTTTGGAAAATTTTTGAATTTCCATTAATCTTAATGTCCTTTTCCTCCATTTCTACCCACTTTTAGGCCAAAAGTAAGCTGAGCAAAAATAACTAAATCCTTTTCCCTTCCAATCATTTCCTCTCTCTCTCTCTTTTCAAAAACCAATCCCAAACATCAAAAATCATTTCCCTCCATTTCCTTTCCTTTCCCTTCCCTTCCCTCCTATTCCGTCAAAACAAATAGCGTGTTAAAGCTTCATTTTCTTTCATCTTCTACCTTTTCTAACCCTAATTTAATTAATGAGGACTTTTAAGCTATTGATTTTTTTTGTTTGATTGGCTTTACCCCTAATTTTGTCACCTCTAACGGCAAAAATTGATCATTTTTTTTAATTCAAGGGCTGCTTTGTGATAGTTTATAGTTGATTGGATAAAATCATACAGAAGCAATCGTTTTTATGGACCGTCCACAAAGTTTCCTCTTTAACTTTATGCAGTGACCAATGACTTTTTGAACATAATGGCGTACAATGAAACCGCCATTGTCGAAGGCTAGATTGTAAGAATTCAATCTCGGAGCTATATTTTAGTTCGCAGCAATTTTTTTCTCGCCTTTAAATCGAATATTGTGGTTTCCACATTTCCACGATATTACCTATATCACTTGTTTTATCAATAATATGAGGCCACAAAAAAAAAAATTTCCCTTAACAATCTTGTTAAGAATAAAAGTTTAGGAAGCAAGTTGCGAGGTTGCCCATCCTTCAGGCCAGTAGTTCTCACAAATCTCTCACCAACAACAAAGAATGCAAATGTCCAAGAAATGTGACTGGAGCCAACCCGTGTTATAAGTACAAAAAAAAAAGGTCCATGCTGAATGAACTCCACCATATCCAATATAGTTAAGAATTCAGAATACTTTTGGTGGAGTGCAGCGGGAAAGATACAGATATTGACAACATGAAAATAACATAAGCATTAGCCATCAAGCAATTAACTATAGGGTGTGTTCTATTAGATTTCAATTAATAAAGTTTACCTATCCAAAACAAATTAACTAACATGTGAGAATACTGAAGTTAAAGGGCAAAGAAGCACCACCATTAGATTGTTGTGACATTAATAGCATATGCCATTGAGACATTAGGTTTGTTCCATATTGATGATAAAAGAGTGTAAGGTGATCTGAACTTCAGCCAACTGGCTCACGAGCTTCAGCTTAATCACAATTTCCCCATCCGTACGCGTACACACAGACCGCATATAAGTGAACTCTCAATCATGGATATAGACAGATCGAGCAATGATCATCAATGTACTCCAAAATTAAACATCAGCAACATGAAACTAATGTAATATACCTATCATTAAACTAGATGGTTCGTGTACCAAACAAGCTATCTGCTGCTCTGAGGGTTAGACTACTTGTCTAGTGATAGGTATCTTTAGCAAGAGTAATCTCCGTGCCCTAGGGTAGCTAACTTCATTTCCCTCCAAGGAAGACGATATTGGATAACAGTCTAAGACAACTAATTACCTGCGCACACAGAGTTTCACCATGAAACTCAGCCCCTTTAAGTTGGCCAATGTGATCACTTCACAGGGAGAAAAGCTGGAAGCTATGTTGCTAACCATCTCAGCAACCTCCTTTTCGAGTCAATGATAAATTACCTAATCAAGCATTCCAAGGAATATAGAGAAGAAACAGGGAAGAAGGAAAGAAGAGAGAAAAGGGAAGGGGGAAACCCAACCTCCCCTCTTCCCCCCCAAAAAAAAAACCAAAAAAAAAAGGAAAAGACAAAAGAAACATGAGGAAAGGAGCATTACAAAGTATCAAGTACAGAAACAAACTTCATCTTCAATCAAAATTGGACCAACAAAAATCAGTGAACAATTCAATCTATCAGTCAAAATTAACAGCAAAAGCTCCTGCCACTAGACCACCAGAATCCATGATTGCATACCTTCATATACAACCAGATAACACAATCTCGCCAAATTGATCAGTAAAGCACCACTTGATACCAGCTTGAGGACCTGCATGTTCTTGAAATGTAACAGGCCCACCAAAACCATCAAATGCAAATCTAAAATGAACTATTATTGCCCAAAAGCCCCTATTAACATAGAGCTCTGCCCGCTGCTTATCAATAACAAATTCAAGAAGAAAATAGAAAAATATATCCAATAAAAAAAGAACAAAGGGAAAGAGGTGTAAGATGACCTATCTCCCCGCAAGTAAACAAATATTCTGTAATAAAAATAATAGATTAATTCCTAATGTGCAGACTATAGTTCTCCTTATTCCAAACTGTATACTTCACCAACGAAAAAAGAAGGGGAACAAAAACTCACAACAGCTAAGAGTTCTAATGTTTTGAAACAGTTTAAAGATAGGTTGCTGGTTCCTCTAACCACAGATTTCCTAAAGGACAAGCAAATACCATTCAAGAGGAAAGAGATGCAGGACAAAGTTCAGTAGTAACACAATTAAATGAGTCACCAGTATCCTTAAAAAGAGAAAATCCTTAAACAGAGACAGCATTGAACAAACTCACTACCTACTGATGAAGGTAAGAGATCAGCTTAGATCAAGCTCATACAGTAGTTCCATAAATTATAGCTCAGTTGATTTAAATAGGCACAGGACTTCCTGAAATATGATAGCAAGATAGCTTCAGAATACAGCAACTCCACTCCATCAACAACCTGCAATCAGGAGAAGAAGGAAGGGAAAAAAAAAAAGGTAATTATCACAAGAGAGCCACATATCATCCTAATATTTGGGAGCAGAAAAGAAATTGAGGAATCTTCCAAGAGAAACCCAGATCTTCCTCTTTTCGCAGCCCTTTCCACACAAGCCTAAACTTCAAACCGAGTTACTTCAAAGTACAGGTTGCTTTTGATGCATTAGCAATCCTCCATTACACAAAATAAATACCATTGCCTTTGGTGACAGCATTTCAAACTAGTTCACGTTTCTCTGGTAAGGTTTTAGTTCTGTCACAGTAGCCTCGGTTCTCTCATAGTCACGCTCATCCCTTTTATTGATTTCCATATGGCCATCATCATTTTCTGAATCATTTAAGTCCTTAGGACCAGGTTCCATGGAGGAATCATCTGATTCAGTGGGTCTTTCCTTCAGATGTTTCACATTCTCATGCTTACTTTCCTGCAGACCATTGTCACTCGAGTGATACTTGTGTTCTGTCGACCTTGACCTTGAGCGCTTCCTATGTTTTGTTTTCCGTTCATCAGTCCTTCTAGGCGACATCCCACAACTTTTGTGCCGTTTACCTTCAGTAGACCTTGACCGGGACCGCCTTCTTTCGTGATGCTTGGACTTCTCTTCACTGTTTTTGTCTACTTTACTACCAACGTGATGTCTTTTTTCAGGAGATCTAGACCTGGACCGCCTTTTATGTTTTGATTTGGTTTCACCTGAAACTCTTGGTGACAATCTACTTCGTTTCCGAATCTTGTCCTCAGTGGACAAGGACCTGGACCGTCTCCGCTCCTTGTGCTTGGACTTCTCTTCTCGAGTCTTGCCCCCAGTGGAGGAGGACCTCGACCGCCTCCGCTCCTTGTGCTTGGACTTTTCTTCTCTACTTTCATCCATCCTATCACCAGAGTTATGGTTAACCTCAGCTGATCTGGACCTGGATTGCTTTCTATGTTTTGCTCTGCTTTCATCGTTTCTAGGGGATGATTTACTTCCCCTGTGGTGGTCAGGTGATCTTGAATTGGCACAAGATGATTTCCTTCGCCTATGAGATGGACTGTCTCGATGGCGTTTTGGGGAGTCAGAATCGTCTCGGTATGATCTTCTAGTTCTAGGGCTCCCACTCCTACTTCTACGTCTTCTTGAAACAGGAGAATGGCGATCATGAGATTTACCTGAATCCCTCCTCCTACTTCTTCCACTATCATCCCTGCTATCCCTGTAGGACCTCCTTTCATGCTCATAGCTTGAGTAATGACGAGACCTTACTGGTGATCTAGATCTGTAACCTCTTGAGTACCGACGTGGTGGTGTTATAGAGCGAGACTTGCGCCTAAGCCGGTAACTGACAGGAGATCTTGACTTCGACCTTGACCTTGCGCGGGTTGTAGATGGAGACCTACCCTCGCCACGGAGCAACATACAATGTTTGTCAAAAAGGCACAGCTGAAGGAGTTACACTAGATAAAAGAACATAGCTAAACACACAAACCATCAAAATAATTTCTAGATATGTCGGCAAGAGTATAATACTACAAAATTTCCAGTTTTGATATATTAACTGCTAAATTTATAGATCCTATAGTTAGATAGACACGAGATACTAAAGCAAACTCTTTATTAGATACATCAACTGTTAACATGAAAGAACACCTTGTGGACCGAAGAATTATGAGGAAGAATTGCAAATTTAGTTGTTAAATCCCTTCTATATTTGGAAATCATAACTTCAAATTTTAAAATAAATCATCTTAAAACACAATCTTGAAACATGAAGGATAACACGCTAATATTGAAACATCAAAGTTATGATTATTATGTAAATAAAAAAAATTTATGATTATGTCAAAACATGAAACAGTAAAATGTCAAACACGAAATCAGAATAACATGTGACCAGAACTAGAATTTGCCAAACTAAATTAAATAAAATAGGATCAGACATTAAAGATGTAAATGCTGTCAACTTAGATGATGCCAGGAATAATAATACTTACAATGCAAGAAAAGGATAACAAAACAAAAGGAAAAAAAGAAAGCAAACCCCAAAGAGACACAACAAAAAGCAGTTAAGAGCACGTTATAAAAAAGATTTCAAGAATAACTACTCATTCACTTCAAGGAGAGGACACAACTTGCTACGTCAGGCTAAAGACTTCCAAATTAGTAAAGTCCACATTACAGGGTGGGGGGGGAGGGGGGAGATTACACAATGTCTTGATCAAAATCTGAAAGAACTTTACTGACCTGAGTTAAATACACCCCACCATAAATATCATGCAAGTGTAAAACAGTCATGAGAAACATGCATCTTTTGAAATATCGTCCATGAGTGACTACCATTTCTGCTGATCTCAGCTTTAGGAAAAGAAGAGTATATGAAACACATCCAAATAATTAAAAAAGAGAAAGGTGGTGTGTGACTTGACCAACTACCCAGGAAGCTTCTGACATCCCAGCTTACAGCTATAGAACCCAGCTATTTAGTACTGAACAAGGACAACAACAAAAAGAACTCGAGGAAAATACTAACAAAATCACGCCTGACATGACAAAAGGTTCTACCCAAATCACAAAAGATTTTACTCAAATCAGCAGGCCTATTATACTTAGAAGAACAAAACAAGCAAAACTATTTACAATGTCAACATGAAAGAATCATTATTTGATAAACAAAGTAAGAGATTCAAGAAGTGCAAATAACCTAGATTTGCGATCAGCTTCCTTATCTTCTGCAACAATCCCATTAGGATTCAAACTTTTACTTATTTCAGCAGCTCTAGCTGCTGCTAACTCGGTTGCAGTCTTCATGCTTGCTGCTCGATTGGCAGCCTGCTGCTGTGTCAATGTTTGCTGCATTAATAATGCCTGCTGAAATTGCATCTGCTGCATTGCAACAGCTTGTTGCATCATTAAAGGGAGAGAAGATGAACCAAGAATGGCCGATTTTGGAGGAAGTGATTTTGCCATTTCAACATTCAATGGGCGACCAGCAACGTCCATATTGTTCAATCCTAATGCGGCAGTTGCTTCTTCAGGCTTCGAATATTCTATATAAGCAAAATATTTTGAATCCGTCACATTACATTCAACAACAGTTCCATACAAGCCAAATAACTGCTTCAGCTGATCCACTGTGAGAAGTGGGCTAAGGTTGCTGACTTGAACGGTTCTTTTAAGGGTATCGTTTTTCCCCTCTTTATCAGCTGATCCTGTAAAAAAGCAGATAAAAGGTAGAAAACACCAAATAAGAGAGTGAAAAAACAGAAGGAAAGATAAACTTCAGAAAGCATTACAAGTTTGCAGTTGAATACATATTTTTCACAGCAAGAGCGAGATTGTTAAGCATCAGGAGGACAACTGATGTCTTACTTATTAATATCGAAAAACATGGACAGGGTACAAAAAGCAAAAGGGAAAAGAAAGAAAATAACAAAGATCACCGGAAGGCCATAATGGACATTATACACAGTAGCCTAATGCCTTTCACAGTTATTAGCTGAATGGTGGCAAATTTTAGAATCAAAATTCTTCCCAGACAATAATGATGAGCAATGAATAAGAGGATTATTAGATAGTACACAAATAGTAGGCATTAGAAATACCAGAAGAATCTTTAGCAGATTGTGCCTGAGCTTGAGCTGCCTGAGCAGCATGAGCTTGGAGGGCTTGAGCAGCAACAATAGCCTGAGCAGCAGCCATTGCAGCAGCAGAAGGTGCCATGGGAACCTGACTAACAGTGCCCATACTAGTTGTGGCAGCTAAAGCAGTCATCAGAAGATTGTGAGGAGGATGACTAAACTTGCAATCAGTTTTTGCACACCGACCATTAAGGTATTCTCGACAAACTTCTCCAAGAGATGCACCAATCCCAGGTAAAACCACCCCACCGGAAGCTCCCTGAACAATACCAGGAATCATCCCAAGCAATCCAGGAAATGCACCTGAAACAGAACCAGAATAATTTGGCATATTGGGCATGGTTTGATTAACCATATTTGGGTATGTGGAAGAGGGAGCAACCCCCAGCAACCCTCCAGTTGTAGGACCTGCATAGAAACATTACAAACTCCAAGTCAACAAGCCAAAACACTTCAAAACTAGTGAATTTGGAACAACTTAAGAAAGCATGTATAACTATCAGCAGTTTTGTCACTAGTAAAGCAATTCAATGGGAATTAGATGCAGAGAAACCTATTCTCTCCCCAAGAATCTAACAAAGACACTTACTGTCCTATCAAAATGTCCAATAAACAAACAGAATAGTATTCTCCAAAATCTATGCCTGATTGGCTCATATTCACAAATCCAATCATCTGCTGACAATTAATATGTAGTAAGTTTCTCAATTAGCATTTAAGAATCACTATGTTGCAACAATAAAATGTACTTCACTTAAGGATTAGATGAAATAATCTTTCTTTAAAGGATCTTAAGATTCACTTGCCATAAAGGAAAATTTTAGGAAGAGCAAAAATCACACTTTCCAAGGTCCATATTTAGCTAGAAGGGAACTTCTATTCAAAATTTAAGAAGAGCAAAGGGGGATGTTACTTAAAAATTACAGAATTTTCTAATCAGATATGTAGTTCTTTCATAGCTGAGAGGGGCAATAATATGAATTCGCCACTGCTCCAAACCGTGTTTCATCATTTGGGATGGAAATTAGATGGTGCATTCCAAAATTCTTTTTGAGGAAAGCAGCTGTGGGAGGATTTTGGGTGCAATCAGGTGGTGCACCAGGCCCACAACTCACAAGTGGCGGTAGAGTGCTTGGCTTCGTCTACAAAGAAAGCAATTCAGTAAAAGCAAAGGCAATATATATCTTCAGACGACATGGAAGGGCCAGCAAGATCAGTACTAGGGTGTCATTGGGATTGTGACTGCCAAGTTACTACGAAGGGCTTTTAGTAGGACAAAGAAGGACTGGTTCGTGTAGAGTGTAAAGAAGCAGAGACTGTAATGATGGCGAAGACAAAAGGCAGAGATGAACTGCTGGACGTAATGAGAGAGAAAACAGAGAGCAGGAAAATGGACTTGTAGAGAGAGCATTGACTTTATTAATCAGGAATATATTAGTCTTTCCATAGCATTCTGTCAACTGCTAGGGCTGTGGTGACTTAACAATCCATCAGCTAGTATCCAATACAGGAAAAACAGGGCAAACTTTTCCAGGATCTACATTAGACTTTCTTCCCCCCCTCCCCCTTCTTGAGCCTTGACATATAATTGTTTTCAAGATATATCATTCCTGGAAAATTATTATATAGTTTCAATGGCCAAATCCTACTTCAGCAAAAACATTATTTAGTTACGCAATGATGAAGACTAAAAAGCACAACTAAATTATGCCAAAAAAAGGCTACTACGAGAAATGAAAACATGTGTTCATGTTCTGCTGGAAAAATAGTAAAAGATGCAGACCAAAGTCAAAGGGAAGATTTATGGGTATAAATAGTATTAGACTGCTACATTACTCAAACATCAAGATGAGTAATACATGGCACCTGTTCCCAACTCCAAAGTACAAGAGCCAAAGGTTTGACATGCTATTCTTGCTCTGAAACCAAAAAAAAAAAAAGGAGGGAAGCAACAACTGGTATGAAAAATGATGCTCTAAAACTTTGCAATCAAGCATTAGCAATATAAACTCAATGTAACTCATTAATAAGCTGAAAGTCAACCAGTGTTTTATACCAGCGCCAACTAATTCATCTAAATTAAAGCACAAAATGTTCAAGAACTAAAATATAAAAGGTTCCTCCAACCCCATAGAGATTAAAAAGATAATCACTAGCAGGCATAATGTCTGAAATACATAGACAACCACCTCTAAATATATCTTGAGTCAAAACTTCACTAGTCCAAAAATTTCGGCACACATGTTTATACACAGAATAACAATGCCATTTATCAAGAACAAGCTAAAAGTCAAAAATCCTTATCCCCACATATGCATCACTCTGCATACTAAACTACATCTTCACGAAATATTTTATATTTTAGGTTATGAAACTAACATCTGTTGAATTCTCTGTACAAGCATTCGAGAAAAGTAGTATATCTTTATATTTTTTAACAGAGTTTCATATATACCTGAGCTGAAGAACACAGGGAAAGGGCTCCCCATGATAGCCTTCCCATTACACTCAACATTCACCATATAATTCCCTCTCTTTGGAACAACATACGTCACTGTATAAGTCCCATCCCCCATATCCTTCACAATCCCCTCCTGCTCGGTTCCTCCCACTCCAACTCCAGGTGAAACCCTAACTTTGACCTGAGCCCCACCGTGAGGCAACTTCCGGCCATCCGCATCCTTTGTAACCACCACAAAAGTCGACCCCACGCACGCAGTCCCACCGGCGATCCCTGCACCGGCAGCGGTGCACTTACCGGGGTCCACTGGACCAATTGGCTTTAAAGCCAGCCTTCTTCGCTCTCTTTCCTCCTCATCTTCATCGTCGTCATCGTCCTCGGACCCGGCAGCTGCAGCCGTATTGTTGGAGGAGTTCTTAAACGTGGCCTCGAAAGCTGCTTTGGCAGCCGCAGCTTTCTCCGCTTCGCTTTTGAGCTTAGCTTCCTCCGCTTGCTTCATCCATATCGTCTTTGCCACGGCGCCGGTGGCAGCCGCCCCCGCCGCCGTAGCCGCAGCCGCATTGGGATTGCCGTTCGTGCTGCTGTTCCGATCCGCCATTAGATTTGTAGTAAATTACAGAAGCGCCCTCCGATGATTTCCCCCCACAACCTTAATTCAAGTAGTACTAAATTATTATCAGTAATAATAAAAATCGAAACTTTACAATAATTTTAAAAACCCTAATTGGAAATTTTTGCCCTCGTGATGAGTGTGTGTGTGTGTGATTGTGTTTTGTACGCGTGAGTGTGTATGCACGCGCGGTGGAGGTGGAGGTGGAGGTGGAGGTGGAGGTGGCGGCGGGGGTGGTGGTGAGATGACGTACCTTAGGAGTAACGGCGAGTGGGTAGGACTGGGGAAGGGGCGGAAAAGGACGATTGCGAGATGCTTTTAACGATTGAGGGGAATATTTTCGGCTGGAGACTCTGTACCTTTTCCAATTTGACAAAATTACGTTTACCTCCTATAAAGTTGTCGTAATTATAAAATCATTCCCAATTAGGCAATTATATTTTGGACAATTTAATTTTGTCAAAAAAAAAAATCCTCTTACATCATAAATATAATTTTTAACTAATTTTTTATTTTATATATATCACGTTATTATTTTAAATAATATTTTTTAAATAATCTTATATGGCATTATTTCAAATAATATTTTTCAAATAATCTTATATTTTTCAAATATCAAATATTTAAGAGTAGTGTGTTTTGAAATATCCAATTATATCCAAACATATTCTTTCAATATATTTTATATCCAATTATAGTTCAAGTTATTTACTTATAAAGTTTTGGATCTTGAATTGCTTTTTTATACTTGATACTGCTTGTATTTAATTAGATTAGTCTTTTTTTGCACATTATTAGATTAGGCTTTTTTGCTACTAAATAAGAAGATTTATAAGTAGAAGATGCTTGATTCCTTTCACTTGAAAAAACGATTAATCTATTTACATAGAACAAAATCCTCACAAAAAGTATAGTTATTATCTTTTTTTTACAATTATTTTCGAAGTTAAACGGAATTCCTTCTTTGCCTAGCTGTTTGTAAATTTCAAAATTTTAACAAAGATCAAAAGAGGACTGAACTTGTACGGATTTGAAGGGTCCATTTCTATTAATTTGCCTAAAGTCGGTAAAATCTCAATAAAACCTAATTTTCCATGTTGGATGGAAAATTATATGAATACTAGGGGATAAGCCCGCGCTCAGCGCGGGAGTGGTAACCTGTGTGGTGAAATGAGTAAATTTATAAAAAATAAAATAAAATTATGAGGAAAGGGCACCATACTTTTATAAATAGTATAGTGCTATTATATGATGGCGGTATTTAATCGATAACAACTATTTTTCTAAACTAAACCTTTGGCATGAGATATACTTACCATTATTTTTCATGACGGTTTGAAAAGCAGATCTAGTGGTTTTTTCACCTTTTTATACTTATCATAAGCTTGACGTTATTTCTCATGGATTTTTTTCTTTTTGTTGAATACATAATGATGCATATATCTTTTTTTCCCCTCTCATTTAAAAGTTAATTTTTAGCATTCAGTTTATCGTTACATCTATCCATTCTAAAATTTGATGCAACTAAGGTAACTTTTAAATCTGCTATCATAACTAAAACAACTACCTAATGGTCCTCTTATTATAAGTTTGACGTTATTTCTCATGGATTTTTTTCTTTTTGTTCAATAGATAATGATGCATATATCTTTTTTTCCTCTCTCATTTCAAAGTTAATTTTTAGCATTTAGTTTATTGTTACATCTATCCATTCTAAAATTTGATGCAATTAAGGTAACTTTTAAATCTGCTATCATAACTAAAACAACTACCTAATGGTCCTGGAGTTTAAACAATTTCTAAGCAACAATAATTCCAAAGAACAAATGCAAGGTCAAATAAATAGAGAGAAACCAAACAAGCAAATCGCTAACTTTGTCAGCTGCACTAATCCAGTAATAACAATAACTAAGGAATAGGCATATAAGCCATATATGCAAATCACAACATATGTATCTCATTAATCATCTTGTATGCAGCAGACGAGATATTGATATTCTGCACAATGAATAGAGAAACAGCCATTTAACAAATAGTGAAATAGTCTCTGCTAAACTCATCTACTAAAGCTTAAATCTCAACACAGTTCAACCCTTTTTGTGCAAGTGATATTTAAAGCTAAGTATATAGATTCAAACCTACACCAAGATGAGAATTAATATCAAAATGAGAGTCAACAATTCACATATACCAATTGTGAGTGAAGATTTAAATCGTACCTTCAAGTCAAAGTTCCAGTATACAAATAACTTTTCCTCACAATTCAACCACCTACACCTAAGAAAATCAGATTTTCCAAGAACAGTTAGAAGAAAAATCAGATTTTCAATATTCAGAGGTATTATCTACTTCATAATGAAATTCTCAAATTCATATAATAGCTAAAGAGAAAAATTGCAGTAGAAAATTTACAGTATCTAATGAACCAGTTGAATACAAAAAAAGTTTAAAAAAAAAAAGACACAGAGAATAAAGAAACCTAGGCAAACGCCTTTAAAAAGATACGGAATACAAACACCTGCATCAATACCCAAAGCCTCCATTATTGCCAGGAAGCTCAAAGGCATTGCAATTATTCTGGTAACTGAATAGAAATGATTCTTCACCTAATCCAAACTAAAACTCTCTTTAAGATAAATCAATTAGTGACTTCAATAACTACACTCTTGACATTAGTTTCCTTCCATCATCTAAAATTCCATGAACTGCAAAAGAAGAGGAAAGGTGCTGCATTTACAATCTTAATGAGTTACATGAATGATTTTTCATCTAATACGCATTAAAACTCTCTTAAATAAAGCTAAATTATCATTTGAGTTCTTCCCATTCTTTATTCAAATTGAATTGCATGTCTTTTGTTCCGCCTGGTTTCTCATCTATCGAACTTCTTTCCTGTATTTGTATTAATGACAAACTTAATGGATAGGGAAACACTGCCAAGGGTAATATAGGAAAACACTGCTGGAGGAGGCATCACACCATTGTACTCGTCGCTAAATCATTTCCATCGTACGTTTCCTGGCCCCAAATTACCCCTAGACACAGCACATGCAAATTTCCCAACAGTTTGCGACAATCCCACTTGAAAGGGTACTATAGTCAACAACTATGAAAGCAAGCATAACAATTTTGTACTTTACGCTTCATCATTTGCATTGTACTTTTCTGCATCCAAATATACCCCTCCATTTGCGACTGCAAAGTGCTTTTTATATATGTATAGGACTAGGGAGATTGCGTGGGCGCTAGGTAAGAGAGTGTAATTGTGCTAAAGTTTTGTTTCTGTATGTTGAATGAAATGGTTTTAAAAAGTTATTTAAGAAAAAAGAGGTTTTGGTTTAGATAGTGACAGGGTGTCGAAGCCTGTACAATAATAAAATTAAATCTAATTGCCAGTTAAAATGACCAAAACCCAATTCCAAATACTGGAGCAGGGACTCTAGGTGTGTAATGGGTTACTTGATTCACCCTGTTCCCGAAGAGTTTGCTTGATCCGATATACCCGAATGGGATGGTTATTTTTTCACAAATAATTATGAATGTGTAGACAGAGTAAGTAGGATCGTATCCTCAGGGACTGGGTATATTTGTCTCTTAAGAAATCCAAGGTAACACAGGGGGTGATTTTGTAGGAACGACGACAATCAAATAAATTTAAATAAAAAAATAAAAATAAATAACTAACTAGAAATTAAACCACAATTCACTGAACTTAGAATAACAATAATTAAAGGCCTAAATCAATTAAAACAAGGAGACAATTAAAAATAAAATAAAGTAAGCAACTAAAAGTCAAATGGCAATTCACTAAAATCAAGGTAATATTAACCAAAGATCTAGCCAAGAAGTAACTTCAGCAATGGTTCACCTAATTGATCATTGAAGCAAGGGCAGCTCCAATTATTCATCAATAAATAGGTTATAACTACCAAACAAGCGATGACAGTCAATCCCTCCTTACTGTGTCGGTGATTAAGGTACGCCCGTTAATCACTGCTCTAAAAATAAAATAAAGTAAGCAACTAAAAGTCAAATGGCAATTCACTAAAATCAAGGTAATATTAACCAAAGATCTAGCCAAGAAGTAACTTCAGCAATGGTTCACCTAATTGATCATTGAAGCAAGGGCAACTCCAATTATTCATCAATAAATAGGTTATAACTACCAAACAAGCGATGACAGTCAATCCCTCCTTACTGTGTCGGTGATTAAGGTACGCCCGTTAATCACTGCTCTAATTAGGAAATAATCCTAGGTACGCCCATAAGATTTAATTCCTCAATTGCCTTACGTATTAGAGGAGCCCTATTCTAACCAAATAACGCACTACCAGGGTTATTTCAGATTAGCCCGCATATCCCCCTGGTACAAATTCAATCATGCCAGTTGTCACTATTTCAAGGCAATTAAACAATTACGGATTTAATGCCCTAATTAAACTTTTATGAACATGCAATCAATTTGATGAACAATTCATCGATAGAAAGCTCGAATTAATGCACATAGCGCTCAAAATCACCTCATAATTCAAATAACCCAAAGCTGATCCATATGCAAGCCCAAACCACTATCCACTAGTTAGTTCACAAACATGGAAAGAAACATACATGCAAAATTGATAGAGAAATAAAGGAAATTGCCTTTACTACTCGTACAAGTAGACTTAAATTCGTGCATACTGCATTGAGAGTTCATTTACTAAATAAAATAGTTACTTGATTCTTTTTAATGTTTTCATTTTCATCATCAAACAAAACTATTTAGGTTACATTTATAAATTTCCTTGCCAAACTTGCATGAAACTTTTTTAATTTTGGAGATATTGTTTTGAATAACTGGTAAATATTTCTAGTAAAATGAGCTAAAAAATAAATCTAATAAATATTCATGATAAAACATAATTGTGATTTTCTTTCTTAAGTTTAAATTAACTATGATAATTGGATTTGATTAATTATCAAGGACTTAAAAAGTAATGAAGCACAATATATTAAAGATTTTTACAGGCCAAGTTGTTTCTTAACAATAATAATATTTTACTATTTAATATAAGGGAAATGAATCACATTGCATCGCCTTTTTCATGCATACAAAATACAAGGGAAAAAAGAGAAGAAGTTGTTATAGGGACAAGAAAAAGTCCATTTACATGAAGCAACTGGATTTTAGTTGTCTATTTATAAGTTGTGCTAATTCGGGTTTGGACATTAAAAATGATGTATACCATGCAATTAAAAAATATTACCACAATTCATCAACATGTAAGAATTTGGTTGTCAGTTCCAGGCCCTCTCTAGTTGGATTTCTGTCCAATTCCATCCGGTTAGATAAATTG